CCGCTGCGTCAGCCCAGCTGTCCAAGGGTGACTCGCAGCAGTGCACTTGCTCGTGGTAGTGATTTGCAGTGTCACTGTGATAGCTAATGAATTCAGGAGTGCACACAGCTTCACAAGTGTATTTTTATTTTTTATACCACTCAAACAGAATGGATGTTCTTTCACACAGCACTATCTATAAATATTTGTCACATCAACCACTATGTCAAAAAAGGAGAAATGAAAGCTTATTACAGGTCCATGGCTCAAGAGGCATGTCACGGTGGCCTTCTCTAATTTGCTGTTACATTCTCTCTGTCTCTTAAGGCTTTTTTCCCCTCTGCAAAGCAGGATCTGAACACAACAGCCACTCTAGAGTAAGTTTGCAAATGACAGAAGGGTTAGTGTGGGCTGCTTGTGTGCTCGCACCTCTGGCTAGTGGCTTTCACCTCCCTTTCTTCTGTGACACTAAAATACTGAATACCAGCTTCCCTGCAATTGTCTGCTGCTGTTCAGTGACCAGAGTTCAGTGTAGATCAGTTGCCTTTGTGGCTGGTTGCTCAACACAAACACTGAGCTGCTCAAAGAAGGAAAGATAAGCCAGTGTTAAATCCAAAGAAAAGCTTAGTGTAAGGTTTGTTACTGTAACGCAATCAAGTAATCGTCTCTTGGAAGACGGCTGGTTGAGGTATTTTGTAGTCGAAACCGTAAAAATGGAAGTTGAGGAAGATGGCTTCATACCGCCCAAACACCGCAGAGACACTAAACTACCGGTGCCTGTTTTGTGAGCTGAGCCCTGGTGGAAAGCCTGGGGAGTCTGGGTAACGAACCACCCCCATGCAGCTCCTGCAGCTTGGCTAATGCAAGTCTCTTTTTGAAATGGGGCCTATGGTTATGATGCTCATCACTAATTAAAGACGTTATTTCTAGTTTTTAGCCATGTTATTTAGTGAAACAATGTAGATACATTCATCAGGCAATTTGGAGTAGAAAGTGCATATGCAGTGGTTAAAAAAACATTTTAAACTATTCTTTGTACTGCAGTAAGGAAATATTTCAGGAAGTAGTTCCCATTTTTCATGGAACCGCGCTCAATTTTGATTGCTTTGTACACCCCTTAAAAAGTTGCTGAAAAATTAGAATGCTCATTTTCCAACCCGTCCCCTATATACGGACGCATTTCCCTTATCTCACAGGAAGTAGTTCCCATTTTTCATGTAACCACACTCAATTTTGATTGCTTTGTACACCCCTTAAAAAGTTGCTGAAAAATTAGAATGCTCATTTTCCAACCCGTCCCCTATATACGGACGCATTTCCCTTATCTCACGTATCTCGTTACAATTCAGCGAGGTGTCTGATGCAGGTGCAGCTGGAACCAGCCATTTTCTCCTGTTGGCACCCAGTGACTTGCACGTGGCTGTTGCAGTAGAGACCAGCTCAGTGACGTTCTTCCTTGGCCCATCTGTGGCGTCTCCATTTGGTTAATGCATTGCGAGGGCAGGGAGGTGGTGGAGGTCTCACGTACAGGCAGATCTTACTTAGCTCATGTCCATCGACTCTGAGGTGGGTAGGGAAGCAGAATCTTTCTGAATGCTTTCAAAAAGTGATGCCATTTCAGGGTTGGATCTGATCTGAGATGAAAACTCGGCCATCACTGGACTTTTCTCTACTTCAGGGATGGTCAGGAGGGCAGCTACTGCTCTCATGGCGGATCGCTTCAGTTCATCCTGCTTCTCAAACTCCTGCTTCACGGAACCAGCTTTTACCTACAAATCCAAAGCACCATTTTTACTTGGCATTTAGAAAAGACAGTAGAGGCACAAAGAATCAGACACGCCAGCAGAGACACAGACAAGCAGATTATTTTCTAACCAGAGGAGTGTGGGGAGCGGGCTGCCCAGAAGCAGTGACAGAGAAGGCTAACAGCACGGGTGGCTCTGCGGCAGAACCCACCCCCGGTGCGTCATGCTCTCTGCCTGATCTTACCTTTGTGGAGCAAGTTGCCCGGAGTGGCTCAATCAGTCGCTCGAGCCGTTGCAGCACGGCGTTGGGACAGAGGGTGGACAGCCGAGCCAACATTATGAACGTCAGCATCTAGACAAAGGAGGAAAGATAAAACAGGCGTTGCTTCACTGCACCCTCCAATCCCCCCGGCTTAGAGCGTGGGTCCTCTCTGCTGAAGCCCGCGTGGTCCTTCTCCCTGTGGTGCCAAACATCACATGGTGGTGAGTTTCTTTGCACTTGTGCAAGGGGTTTTAGTAAGAGCTTTGGTCATACTAGAAATGCACCCGCAGGCGGCCAACGCTGCCCAGCCGGGCTCTGGTCCTCGGTGCGTGTGGTGCCCTGCTCTCGGGTGTCTCTCGGTGTAAAGGGCTGACAGCCCTTGAGAGAAATGGCAACATTCAGCACGGGGATTGTGCCATTTCTGTACCCATGTCTAACGGGAAGTAAATCAAATAATAGCGTGAAAAGGATGTGGCGCTTCCTATTAAGCCATGAGGCCATCAATAATGTCAACGCTAAATTTTTTTTAATATAGTGCTATTGGCCACACTGAGCAAGTGACAATCATAAGTTTAAAAGCAGAAGGAACTTATTTTAGACTTTAGTAAATTTCCTATAAAACCAGCTACAGCAGGGTTGCGTTTTCAAGGCCACCACGGTCAAACTAGAGCTAGACAATGTCAGATGAAAGGCTGCAACAGTTGCAGAGAATAGGAAACAGCATGGCAGGGGCACTCCGTGCTGCGGTGACGCGCCAGCTCAATTCAAGCCCAGGCCCCCAGAGAACGAGTAACATCAGTGACGTCACCACCCTCCAGCAGTTAAGGCACAGCATCTACCCGAATGTCATAGTGATCCTTCAGTCCATCCTCAACATGGTTCAGGTACTCATAGATATCCAGTCGGTCAAGGCAGCTTTCCAGCAGGGTATACATGCATTCAAAAGCAGCTTTCCTCACGTCAAGGCCATCATCCACAGTGTGCTTGAACGGCCCCATTTCTACCTTAAACAAGAAAAAAAATACAGCTGTCACCTAGCAGCAGACAGGGTGACAGCTTCATCTCAGCGTCACACACACTGAGTCACTGCTGTATTGCACCCAAGCCGAACTAATGACATACCTCCCGGATGAGTTCCCTTCTGACCTTTGTTTCGTTATAGAGGCTGGGGAGAACTGCATTTAGTAAATCTCGGATTAAAGAAGGTTTGTTGTGAGCAGCAGAATTAAACATGGCTAAAGCCACACGTCGAACATTCAGGTCTGGATCCTGAAGAGTTTTTAAGAAGTCACCTGTCGGATAAGAACACACCAGTCAGTCCTGCTGCAGTGTTTTAAAAGTATTTTAAAAGTACGTCACAATATATTTCAAGGAACCTGGTTATGAAAACATCTACAGTAAAATAACTCTAGGGGCTCAGTCTAGCAGAGACATTAGAGATGCTTTCTCTCCCTTCGTTTGGGATATAATGGGAAAAACATGACTTTCCTGCATTTGGGCATAAAAACAAACTGCATGATTCTAGCTACCTCATCCTAAAGTCAAATCAGCAGCTTTGGTATTCAAGGAAGTTGGTTTTTGTTTTTTTCTTCCTCAGATCTCATCTGCTCAGACTTCTCTGAAACAGAAGGCCCAGTTTTATACAACAGATCTGAGATGCAGGCTCCCTAGGCATAAGAGCCTTTTAACGTATGTTATATTTTACAAGATCCTTGTTGTGAGGTGCTTGAATCATAAGTTCAAACGCAGAAGGAAATTATGCTCCCTAAAAAACTCTGTCACAAATGGAACATGCCCAGGAGCAAGGTATCAGAGCATTTAACAAGGACTCACGTGGCAGTGTTGCTCTTTAATCCCAAAAGCAGAGAAACACAGATAAAAACTAACTGGATTAAATGAGGTTCACATAGGTGTGAAAAATCCCCAAGCTGCTAATGACGCCTAACACATCTCATGTTCCCAGCTCACGTTGCTATTTGTACTAGCCTACCTATGCAGCCTTTCAGGAGAGCATCAATAGGCTGAGGCTGGTCTGCAATTGTGAATTTGATTGCAGTTACCACCGTGCTCCGGGCATGTGGAGAGCCTGTGATGAAGATGGAAAGAAAAAACAGTGGAAGATCAAGAGACAAAACATTGCTGTAATTTTGAAGCGCATATTCTGCTCTTGGTCACATTATACACGCATTCAAGAGATAAGAGAACAGAGGATTTGTCTTAACAACCTCCTTGTTTAAATCCTGCCCCAGCACAACCTCCATGTGCGGTGCCTGTTCCTGACACCCTCCTGCACCCCGTGCAACCCAGTGCTCCTCTGATCCCCCCTTGCAGAGATCCCTCTTGTTTCCTTCTCGCCACTGCAGACTGGCTTTGCTCCCTGTTGAACCCACCAGCAGTTTACAAGATGACTTTCCAGCAAAACAAGGCATTTCTCCACTCTCGCCACTGCCCTTCCCATTACCTGATGACAGCTGGTTTTTCAACCGGGGCAGCAGCTCAGAGGGATTCACCAAAGTCAGCTTCCCCAGGCACTCAGCCACCACATTGCGCGTCCCTTCCTCTGTGCACTCACAGTGCTTGAAAAGCAGAGCCCAAATATCCTCCACGTAAGGTTTGAGGCCATCGGCCGGGGAGGAGCTGATGACTTCTTTTAGAGAGTGCAGCAGGAGGTACTGTCTCTTGGGCTGGCTTCCGATCTCTTTCAGCATGAAGGGAAGATACTCCTTAAGATTCCCAACACTGATGTTCCCCAACGCATAGGAAGCAGCAGATTTCACCTCTTCGCTGGGGGAAGTGAATGCTTCCAGGATGACTGTTTTGAGCTCTCTCTGAGCACTGAGGTTCATGGTGCGCCCCATTTCTGCCAGTGAAAGAAAAGCTAGCACTTTAACAGCAGAGCTGGACTTGGGGCTTTTTACATCCTGGATAAACTGGTTCACTATTGCAGGGGCTTCCTTTGGGCAGGCTGAGGAAAGGGCTGCCACGCACTTTGCGACAGAGTAATATGCCTGTTTGTGTAACGTCACTGATGCCCCGGCTGAACCTGAGGAGTAAATAGGTGCAGTCAGCTGCTTCATCAGCTCCGAGTAACCCATGGCGGCCATCTTTGTCAGAACCAGAGCCTGGAAGAAGTCTATGATAGCGTTCAGCGCCCCTCCTTGGAGCAAAGGTGAGCGGACAAGCTGAAAGATTTCAGCAAGAACTGAACCACTGATCTTAGAGATGCACGATGGATAAACCTTAGCTAACGTAGTAAGGAACATGATAGCCACCTGGGAAACATGCATGTCATTCTCAGTAATTAAAGCGGGGAGCTCCTTTAGGACAGACTCTATCATGGCAGGCTTGAGGCTGTCACTGTAGTTCTTCACCAGGATGTCCAGAGCAGTCAGAGTGCTCAGTTTCAAGGCACGTTGATTCTTTCTCAAGAAGGAAGCTAGAATGGGGAAACCTTCCCCTAGAATGGGTCTCAAATCTATTTTAAGTGGAGAACCAGCAATTAAGGTTAATGCTTTGACTGTTGTCAATCTGGTGATTTCATTTTTGAGCCTCTCTAGAAATATCTTCAAGGTTGGCTGGAGATCACTGCTTAAATGGTCTCCCAGACTGTAAATGATTTGTCCCATGCAGGAGATAGCACGCTCTTTCACCTCCTGGTCGATGTCAGCTGCCTTCAGTCGCTTCAGAGTACCAGGGAAAAGGTCCTTCACATAGGGCTTGGCGTCGAAAGTGCAAGATTTGTCCGAAGGCCTGATAACTTTCACAAGTTGCTGAGTAACCAGCAGAGCTTCTGAAGTGATCTTATAAAAGGGGTCTCCAATACAGGTCACAACAGGAGGTAGCAGGCTTTTGATATGAGGATGAAATACCTCTGGCTGGTGGTTGCAAAGAAGAACATGAAGGAAAGACAGTGTATCAATCCTCATGTTGGAGGAGCTGGATTTATCAGCCAAGGAGAAAACAATACCTGTGCAGAAGAGACAAGAATGACTGCTGTCTTACTACATCAAGTGGTTTTTATCAAACCCACTCCCCCCCTCAAAAAATGGACGCAATTGGAATCTGTTTTCTCTCTTTCCTCTCCCCATGCAAAAGATACATGCCATTAAAGAAAGCTACTCTCCTTGCTGTCTTTCTGCTTTCCAGGAAGTGGCAATTCAGACATAACTGTTCTTTGTAGCAGACCTGGATGGCTGGCTACGAAAACTTTTTAAAAAGTTAATTCGAAAAGTCATCCTGGGCTGAGACGAGAAGGGATGGTTAGTCAAGTGCAAACAAGTATGACATAGCCTAGTCTCAACAACAAGCACTCCAGGCAGC